GTGATGCTTTTTCTGTATTGGGATCACGAGAGAATGAGAAGGTACTGCCCATAGCTGGTGAGGATGGAAAACCTGAGGATGGAGTGCCTCAAACAGGTCTGAACTCGTTACTGTGCTAGACTTAGTGAGGTGGTTGTGGTACCTGTGGTTGCTCAAGCGTGTCTGTCTCTCCTTGCAGTCATGTCAGGTGCTACATAGAAATTTAGTGCCAATGTTGACAAAGCAATACTGGCACAGTGTGTGCTGCCATTCAGACTAGGTCAGTTTGAAATAAGCAGCTCAGATGCAGAGAACTCATATTAGCACTGCAATGAAGCCCGGACTTCTTGACCTGTAAAGACAGAGAGGAAGGAGAGTGGGAAACATCAACAGCTTAGATCTCGCAACTGTCCCGTGCCCATGTATCTGACCGGTCTTCTTAAGTAAAAGTTGTTGCTGCCATCAGTTTATCCTCTCACGTTTGATTACATCTTGTTTTGTTTCCTTTCTCTTGTGTTGTTCTTATGTAGTCTGCCGCTTTTATTTATAGGGCTTTTCTGCTGGGAAAAAAAAAACATGGGAAAGTACAAATATCAGAAAGGTTCTGTATTAAAAGCTTAGTAATATGCTTTAACTGTGTTGTTTATGTATATAGTTTGGGAAGAACTGGTATCTCTTCTGTGCAGCATCTGGGCTTATTGGCTGCCTACTATAAGCAGGCATGTATATTTACACTGTGCTAGGTGCTCTGCAGTAGTTCTTAGTGCACATGAGCTTAGGAAAAGAATTCTCATTTAAGTAAATGTGCAGTTTAATTTGTGGATTATAATGTGTTTAAACTGATATTTGAATTATTGTCTTGAAATTAATATATCTGTGATTTGATCTTGGTTTCCTTTACTTTGTATAGCATGAGAAATATCTTTTTTTGAGTTCTTGGTGTGTCTTTGGGTATTATGTCATACAGAGCTGTCTGATGACACTTAACAAGCATATTACAATTATTAAATAGGATGTATTTTGTACATATAAAAATGCTCATAGTCCCTAAGCTACCTGGTATTGTTAACTTAAATGCTTGTAAAGCTCACCTATTTTGAAGACTTGCACCCTGACGCTGTGCTGTACAGTCTTTTTTAATCTGGCATAAATCTATTCCTCTGAAAGTGGTAGTTTTTCATTCCTTTCTCTCTGGTTCTTTCTTTTCTTTCGTTGATGATAGTGTTCATGTCTCTGCTTGGAGACCTAGGTCAAAGATCTGAACCTTAAGTATGCGTGTTGTGGTGGTGGCTTATCAGTTCTTCAGTTTTGTTATTACAGTGTGTATTGTGGGTGTGGTGTGTGTTGGAGGGTGGGGGATTTTTTGCCCCAGAGTAGAGTGTAGTCTATCGTGTCTCGCTTAAGTCACTTTGAGACCGCGACACTTCCGAAATGGGCAGTCTTGTCTTCTTCCTCTGGCAAACCCTCCTGTTCCCTCCCTTATATTGGCATTACTGGTCATGTGGCTGTGATGTGAGTTGGACCTACCTTTGCTCTGAGTCAAAGCAGTGCAGTGCTGGTTTCCAGTAGGATCAACAAGTGTGATTGTTATTGCTGATGCAAGAGAAGAAGGAAGGCGTATCTGGATACGGTGGCTGGTAACTAAGAGAGTAGCTGCTTGGATTTGAGTGGCCTTTGACCGAGTGTGAAACTACCCCCTGAGTTTTAGCTGGTTTAGTGTTGATGCAGCTGTACAGTAGCCTGGCATGCTAGGACTGGCAAGCACAGGGAGATGCGGAGCTGCTACCCTGTGGCAGTAGCCCTGCTATATGGGAGGCTGAAAGTGTCTATGTAACTGTGACCGCAGGGATAAGCTTGCTGAACCTGCTCACCTCTTCTGAAGTGCCAAAACTAACATTTCTATAGGCTATACATTATTACATTTCCATATCCAATAACAATGTATATTATGTATTTATTTATTAACATAGGTATCTTGTGCAAGGATGTTGTATGATTTAATGACTGCTTGCTGTGGATTATACCCGAGTCTTTGTGTTTGCTCTGGTACAAACATCTCAATTAGGGCTTTTGCTCATTTTTTTCAAAGTGACTGTTACTGAATATAGGCTGTCCTGAAAAGCTTTAACACAAAATGAGCAAAAGGAATGCAAGTGTATTTTAAAAGCAATAGATTATTTAAGCATATCCTTCAAAATGATTTTTATAATGATTTTGATATCTTAGTTGTGCCTAAATCAGTATAGAAAATACACTTTTTCTGGTTTTGATATGGAAACGACTTCATAGGGTGGCTCTGAAATTGGTTTTAATTTGGTTGGGTGTTTTTTTTCCCAGTTCTTGTTGAAATTTGTGTGGTGGGAAGCACTGTAAAAATTGAGAAAACTAAGCAAAATGAGTCTAAATGTTAATGAAACATGCTTCTATTTCTGTTGCATAATATGATGGAAATGGCAGTTCTTACATTACTTTCACAAGAAAATTAGATGTTCCTACTTGCATCATGATCCTAAAAGCTACAGTTTTTATGCATATGAATAATTTTCGCAGGTGTCCTGTAAATGGTTGATAGAGAGTCCTGCATGAGTGAAGATACTGAGCTATACTGCTTTGTGGCAGCTAGCTTCCAAGGTGATGCAATTGACTTTTAAGATGTTGAAATTAAGAAGTGCGTATAATTGTACCGGGGAGGGGAGGAGGATCTTACGGGATGTTTAAAACTGAACTTTTTTAAGCATGGGATTTTTTTTAATCATCCACTGATACTCAAGATTCTCGTTTCTCGTTTGTGCTCCAGGAAATTTCCACAAGACTTATGACTGTACGTCTGCTTTGCTCTCCTGTGTTAGAAGCTAGGGCTGTTCTGTTCGCTTTGGTTTCAAGCAGAATCTTCTCCTTTTTTGTTGTCCCCATCCTCCTTTTGGCCTTGTAAGAAAAAGCCTGAAAACAGCCAATGTAAAATGAAGACGAGGCTTATGTTGTTTTTTAAGGAACTACTTCAAAGAATGGAGAGAATTGGGATAAAGATAATGAGTTCTGACTACTAAGGCTGTGTGTTTTCTTAGAATACGGCATACATGAAGAGTTACTCATTCTTCTTTTTCCCTAACTCCCTGTGTATCATTCTTCCATTTGTGCTTGTTTCAGGGCCTCCCTGTAACCTCTCCTTTTGTCACTCATTCTGTGTAGCTTTTGTCTTACTTCTTCCTTCTGCTGTATGTCAGTGAATGACCCCATTTCTACATACAATAGTGGGATACATAAATGACTTAACATTAATAAATGTTAAGTCTCTGTTGAGAAAGAAAAAGGGGACTTGCACACGCAGAAATGGTGACCTGCATGCTTTCTGTTTGTGTTACCAGTCATTAGCCTAATGAAGCTCAGACTTAAAATGTTCATATGTCGGAAGGGCTAATGCTGGATCTGGTGGTGAACTTTGCTTGTGCCTGATAAACTTGGATTGTACAAGCTTAAACAGACCCACACCAAAACGAGGAGTTTAGCCTCAAACTGCTTCTGGGCATGTACTTGGAATTGATTTGAGTGGATGATAGGTGAGCTGACCTGAGCGCAAACTCAGGGCTTGTTTGACTGTGTATGTACAAAAAATAGAGACAAAAATCTCTATATAGTTGTATGAATGGAGTTTCTAGCAAGGAGACTTCTTAACCTTTTTCTTATTTTTCCCAGCCTGACAAGGAGGTGCTGGAAGCATTGTGGCCTGCTTCTGGCCTGCTTGTAGGGTGTTCCATATGTCCCCACCTGACTTGGAATAAACTTTTTTTTTTTCTTTCTGCGTATAGCTAGTACTTTCCTTGCTATCTGAGGATGCATTAGATTTATTGGAGGATGTTAAAGGATAAAGTTGCAGATTGGAACTCCATCGATTTGTGTGTAAAAGCTTGTCTCTCCGTGGCATTATTTCTTAGTAGGTGCCACTGACTGTACCTATAGATGTATGCTTTTACTGTAGAAGTACTTCTTTGCAGCCTTTTTAAATGCCACTGAAAAAGCATTGATCAGATAATGAAGTGCTTTCATACAGGAATAGAGGTGTGCATATGGCATTAACTAGGAAGAGCTGTTTCTGTTTAAATCTGTGTTCTTCCTTGCATTTGAAAGTTGATTCCTATCAGATACATTTTTTTTTTTCTTGCTTTCCTTGGCCAAAGAAGTACAAAATTCAGAATAACTGAAACAGGACTTGAAAGTTGTGGTCTGCAGACCTGCAAAGTATATGAGATGTAGACACAGATACCTCTTGTAGTTTTGGCTGAATGTTAGGAGTCTAATGTGGTGGCAGAGGGTAAGAAATTCGTGGTTTTGTTTATGCAGTAATTGTGGGCATGTTTGCTTTTTTACTGGTCTGTGCTATGGACAGTTAAAAGGGTGATACAGCAATACATGTGTGATACATCATACAAATGGTCATGTCTGGCAGAGAGTGCTCGGCTAGGCAGTACACAGCATGGGCGCTTTCTTCACACAGCTGGATTTCAGAGGCTTGCTCTAAGGGTCAAGGATTCTATATGGGGAAGTAGATAGTGATGTCATTAGGGCTGCTGATAACTGCAGTCGCAAGTACGTTCTGAGGAAAGAGTAGACTCAGTGGTACGTCACGAAGAGAGCCTGCCCTTGGGAAAATATTTCTTAAACGCTTTCGTATTTCAGTAGTGCTGGAAGTACTGTGTTAAGTGTGTGTTTGAACTACACTGATGTGGGTTCTCTGACCCACGGTTTCTCAACCTGTGGTCCGTGTGTACGCTGGTTATAGTCAGAAACTGGGAAGGCATGTAGTCCTGTCTAGTTAAAGCAAAGACACACAAGCGTGGGCAGATTGCATAACTCCTCTTTACCTTTATGAAATTAGGATAGTATGAAGTTGTCATGTCAACAGATGCTGTAAGGATGAGTTAATTAGGTTTGATCACTGCAAGGGCTTTAGCATGACCTATAATACAACTGTAAGACGTGGTTATGCTCAAGTCCGGTTACTGATCTTTATTTTCTTTAAGGTATGTTTTGACTGCGGAGCGAAGAACCCTAGCTGGGCAAGCATAACATATGGAGTTTTTCTATGTATTGATTGTTCAGGGACCCATCGATCACTTGGTGTTCATTTGAGTTTCATTCGGTAAGCAGTTTGTATATTTTTATAGTAAAAATTGCATCTTTTAATGTATTTGTTTGTTTATTCAGACACCTGCTCAGAGAGGAAAACCATTCTTCTCTCAACTACTGATTCAGACCTTTTTAATGTTTTTATTGGCTTTGTTGTATCTGATAGCTGCTTGGGAATTCGGTAAATAGGTAGGTTTCAGTAGAATTTGTACCATGCACCCATTCCTATTACCTGCTGCTTGTGTTAGTAGTGCACATTTGTTGGCAGATTCTATATTGAAGATGATGAAAATGAAGAATGGAGTAAGCATGTTGTACTGTTTTATCATTCCTCCAAATCAAGACTGAGGCAAATACTAGTTTATCATCTTCAACAGTGTCACAGTGTATTGCCCATAAAGGTAGTCTGACCCCCTAGCAAGCTGCTTCAGAGAGCTAAATAGCATTTTGCCAGCTTTGCTTCGTGAAGTAGTTCGTTACGGTGTCACCTGAGTGCTAGTACTGGGGTAGTGCTAATACTGGGGTACTGCCTCTTTGGCAACGGTTTAGCTCAGTCAGTTGGTGCAGTAAATCAACACCCTGAGCTTGTCACATTTCAGGTGAGTATCCTAACTGACGGCCTGTGGGCCTTTTTGGCTTCATAAATAATTACATATTTGAAATGGAAGGTTCTGCTTGAAGCGAGTGAGAACAATGCATTCGGGAATAGATTGCAGATAAAAGCAGCCGTTTTCTATCAACTAAAATCCATATTCTTCCTCTGCTGCCTTTTTGCTGTATACAAAAGTGTTACAAGAGGCCTCTCAGGAATCCATTCCTAATGATCACAGTATTAATTCTCCTCATACTCACTGGGCCCCAAATTTTTGTTGTGATATGACATTCAAATTTTCACTTTGCCCATTACATGTGATTGTCACCTGCTGTTGACAGAGTTCAAATGTGATTCCTGAAAATGTATCCTATTGGTGCTTTTTAAAAGGGAAACCTGTCAGCCAGAGGGTGCATTTTTTTTCAAACTTTTACAGTTTGAAAAACTGTGGCAGTTCTACATGACTTTATTAATTTGTTTTGCACATTATGTATTGTTGCAGATTTTTTTTTTCTATAGATGAATGTTTTTCACTTTAGAAAAAAAAAGGGGGGGAAAGAAACACTTTACAAAAAAAAAAGGTAGGGAGATTTTAAATAGCTTTGGAGATAACATTAAAAACGTTTCCTTCTGTTTAGATCTACAGAACTGGATTCCAATTGGTCTTGGTTTCAGCTGAGATGCATGCAAGTTGGAGGAAATGCAAATGCTGTATGTACTCCTGAGTATTTGCTTTGCACATTAAAGCTTATTAGGTTTGGAAGCTATTGTCTGTCCTTATTGGCTCATATTTTGGGATATTTTTATTTTTCCAATTCATTTATCTTTTTTTTTTTTTTTCCCCTCTTGTTTGTAAGAATTCCTTTGAATGCTGATTTCGTCCTCCATACTTCTTGCAACTTTTCCGTCTTGGTATAATCTGCAAATGTTTTATTTTTTCTTAGAAGTCATTAATAAAAATGATTGAAAAGGCCAGATCAGATTCTTTGTCCATACCTGTCTAATTTAACAGTGAAACATTGACTGCTGCTGAACGATGTCTTTCCAACAGCTTGTAAACCTAGCTTACAGGCATTTTCCTGTGGCCATATATCCTTAAATGGTTTATGAAAATATCATGCCAAAAATCATGTCACTGTCAAAACTCACACTAAAGTCAAGATCTGACTTATACCTGAGGTACAACTGAAGTCAGGATAAGACATACTACACTGTCAGAGAGGAAATAGCAGTGTTTTGGTTTTGGCCAATTCATATTGGCTGTTACTTTCAACTTGATTTTTTATGTACTTAAAAATAAGTTTGTTACACAGTATTTTTGTGAGTTGAAGTTATGTTGACTGCTGTATTGTTCTGAATCTCCTTTTTAAAAGAGGATGTTTTCCTTTGAAAGATCTTTTGGAATCTTGCCTGTTTTCCCACGTTTTTTCAAAGATTGACCACCAATAACTGAGATTGCTTCCCTAAGTTGACCCACCCAGTGAGGAATCATGCAACTTCCCTAAGCAATTTCTACTTTTCTTCTGATTCCATGAATTCTTACCCCTTATCTTTCTTAATTTGTGCTTTGTCCTTAATGTTGTTTCTTTAAGAAACTTCACCCAAACTTGCTTTCCATAACAATAGCAACTTGCTTTTTCTTAACAATTTTGAGCTTGCTGAATCTGCTTTCCTTCAGTCTAACACTTTCATATTCTGCTGTTTTTTCTATTTTTTTTTTCTTTCTATTTCCATACAAAGAGTGATGAATTCAGGATCGTTATTATTTATCTTCCACTTCTGCATTTTCCAGTCAAACCTTTTTCTTTGAATTAGGTCACTATCTCTGGCTTACAGATCTGAGCAGTTGCATGCCTTCTTGAGAAATAAAGTGATGTCTTCTCCCTCTTTTTCTTCTGCCTATCCTTTCTAAGTTACACCTTTCTATATTAATACTGCTGTTAAATGAATTTACTCATCAAGTTTCTGTTATCCCACTTAGTACATGAAAATCACAGTATTGGCTAATCAGAAGAGGGAGACTTTGCATGAAAAATATTTTCATTTTTAGCAAAACGTTTTAAGGCAGTCAGAAGGAAGAGATAGCAAAGTTTGAAAAGTACTTCGGTTGATCTCAGAAAGCATATTACCAGAAGTTTAATGATAAACCTTTACCGTTTAATTTTATGACTTTTTGTCTGTCTGCTTGGTTGTCACTGTTTCCTATCATATATTGTACCAAGAGGTCTAATATAGCCACACCCACCCCTCAAATATCTCAAATTCACAATAGTTTTGGATTACCTAGGAAGATTAATACCTGAAACTTCAAAGACAAATTTAGTAAACTATCTGGACATTTAAATAATAAAATTAACATTTTTCCTCTAATTGCGTTAAAAAAAAAATTCCCTTTTTGTTTCAATTACATGCCAAATTGTTTTTACTAACTACTGTTTAGAAGCACTATCAGATTAACATTAATCGTTTGTATTCTATAATGGCCTGGTGATGCTGAATCTTAGATAAAAGCAGTCTTGAGCTTCGTAGCTATGTATCAGATCGCTAGAAAACCTGAAGCGTTCTTAGTTCATTTGGATTTCAGAATAAATCTCTATGATGATTGGAATTAGGGTTTAAAAAAAAACCCCTCTGAATATCAAGTTGATAGGTATATATATTTAAATGCAAAAATACACAATAATTTTGGCATCTGTGATGTTTACAGCTGTTTCTGTTGTAATCACAGAAGTTGACTGGCATTATCTCCCTCTTGCATGGTTGTTGCTTAATTTTTATATGAAGTCTGGTACTTGTATACTAGATTTATGCTTTGCAATTGCAACATAGGAGGTCATAACCTTAGGCTATCTAGATTTGCTGATCCTATCAGAAACTTGTTTATTATGTTTTACTGTAATAGTCTGACGTGTTCCTCTGTGCAAGAAGTATGACATGATTTGCTAGTTAATTCTAGGTACTGAAAAAATGCCCAGCCTTTCCACATCTTCATTTTTCAAACAACTTTTTTTTTCCTTTTTTTCTGTTTTTCTCCCCATTGTGGAACTCTGAAAAATTTGCTTTTCGTTTAAGATCCTAAATATGAACAAAATTTTTCATTGATACTTTTATATAAATACACAAGGATATAGGTACATACATATACACGTGCATACATGTACTTTTCTTTTGAAGGAAGACCATTTTTATACAGTCATTTTGATGCTATTGAACATACATTGTTCTCTCTAGATTGCTAGAGATGAAGCCAACCAATGCCTTTTAGACTATCAGGAATGTCCTTTGAAGCACAGGTATTGGCAATCAATTACCTCTTCCTTTCTACAGTTAGTTTCAGAACTAGGATTCTTTGTATATGATGGGAAGCTTGTACTTGTATATGCTTTTAAAATGTCCCACTAATGTATTTGGTTTTTCTGTTGTTTTATTTATATTAGAGAGATTGCCAGAATGGCGTTTTCTTTTTATTTTGGAGGTCTGCATAGACTTAATAATTTAAAAGATTAAATTTAGATAGGGGAGCAGAATATTTTGTTGCATTGCAATATATTTTTATGTTAAATGCCGTAAGATATTAAACCTGTTTCTCATAGCATTTTCTGTTTTCTGCTTCATAGTCTGCTTTTTTCCATCAACATGGATGCACAACAAACGATACCAATGCAAAGTATAACAGTCGTGGTGCTCAGCTTTACAAGGAAAAGATTAAATCTCTTGCAACGCAAGCAACAAGAAAGCATGGTACTGATGTGAGTAGTGTGTGTCCTTTGTCGTTTAGATTTCTGAAAAACTTTCTCTTCTTTTCCTCTACAGTCATTTTAAGTTTCTAATTAGTAATGCAAAAGATTACCTGTCTTTGGGAGGTACTGATACGCATTGCAGTGAATAGGCAAGCTGGGGTGTAAACTATTTGCAGCTTACCTTTTTTTTGTTTGGAAGAAGAACATTGGGATAGAGCTCAACCTGATATTTCAGGATCACTTCTGGGTTACTCAAAACATTAATTGTAACATTTGCAGTAACTTACAGGAGTTCCAGGCAGAAACTTCAGGTATTCTTCAGAATGGAAACTGCTTTGTTTTGCAGGTGTGTTCCAAAATTATATTAGTGGTATTGCATAAAAAAAAGTCAGCAGTTCTCCATGAACTATATAGTGGTTTTATTTTTGCTTTTCTGGAACTGAATTACTGTTGAGAAGTACAGCATGTAAAAATGTAAAAGTGCTAATAGAATTAACTACAAAATATTTATGATTTAAGTGGGATTTGATTTGAACAGGTACATGTGTGTTTTGCTTTTTTCCTACAAAAGTAATGTTTGAAAAATTAGCAAGTTATATATGTCCTGAACTTGCTGTTGTCCATTAAAAAACGGTGAAACAGCTCATGTATGCTATGAAAATCTTAAGTTAGGTTGCTGAGAGGAAGAAGTTATTAGCAAAGTATGCAGAATTAGTTTTCTGAGGTGTTAAATAAGTTTGACAACAGTTCTTTTCTGCCTACACAGAAAGCATGTTTTGATAGTTTAATTCAGCGTGTTAAAGTCTGTGACTGACTCATTTGAAGTCGGTCAGATGAGTGAGAATTAAAAGAAAAGAAGAAAGCTTGGGTTTTTTCCTGATCTATGCATCAAATAGCATGAAATTTAATGGATTATAATAATTCTATATTATAAATGTCATAGACAATATAGTTCACATCACTAACTTCAGAGAATATTTCTTTTGACTTACTAAACAGCTTTAGATGTAAAACATGTTCAAGTAAATATAATATGCCATGTGCATTTAAGTTGATGGTAAGTTCTCCAAATGACACTTTGAAGAAGTGTGTTTATCTTGTTTCAATTACAGATTCCATCCAGTTGTTTGATATTAATTATGTATTTCTTATTTAAAAATTTTAGTAAATATATTTTTTAATTATGTACTGCAAGCGTAAGTGATTATGTGCTATCTAAATTGCTGAAGTAAATTATTCAGATAACTAGATTTAGTACCAACCATCCCCTCCTCTGTCACATTTTAAAAAATTTCTTCTCTAACTTACTGATTCAGCTGATTGTTGAATGATGAGGGAAGCTTGTTGCACATTCAGTAACCTTTTTGACAGAGCTCGTTATTTTTGGTCACGTATCTTTTGCACGTAGTAGGAAGAATGAGAAGAAATGATTTGCCTATGAGTAACTTTGGAGCGCAGATCACAGGTTATAGTCCTGTCCTGCACGATGCTAAGAATGACCTGTGGCACTGTGGGCCCTCCGGCCCGCCCTGAGACCAGGCATAGCTCAAAAATGTTAGCATCTTGAAAAACTCTGCTTTAACTGTAGCAGAGGTTTTGGAATTCTGAGAGTAGCTGGGAAAATTTGTCAGAGTACCAGACCGCACTGATACAATTCCGAAAACTGTTTCCAATGATTGCTAGTGTTATGTTTTCAGGTTTTTTTGCTTTGGGCAAAATAAGAGTATTAGAGAGAAAATAGCTTATGTGAGAATATGAAAAAACTTACTTATTATACAGCTCTAGTGATGCTAAATATTGACAGTATGGCTACGGCAGAGCTTTTACTGAGCATTTTGTTAAGAAGAAAATGGGTAATGTGAAGGAACACATCAAGGATGTATGAAATAAATTAAAAAAAAAAAAGGAGTGTCATATATTGAAGCTCGAATAAATTTATAAGGAAAAATTTTGTACCAGGAAAAAAAAAAATCAGTAAATTTTTAACTTGAAAAGAAAAAAAGAGTAGTTTTAAGATTAGTGGATTTGAAAAAAACATATTCATGCAATTGTCCTGTAAAATTCTCTCTCTCTCTTTTAATTCTAGCTGTGGACAGATGGATGTGGAATGCCACCTGTGTCACCTCAAAACAAAGAGGAAGACTTTTTTGCATCCCATGTTTCTCCCAAGGTATAGATTACCTGTATTTAATTCTTGTTAGCTTTCTAAATGCTTAGGTTAACTGTGTGCTCTATGATGAATAAACTCTGAAAGAAAACCTTCTAAAGAAAGGGTAGGTCAGTGACTTAACATTTATCTGCTTTTCCTTCTGTGGGTCTCAAAATTCTTCCTGGATGTGAACCACTTTTTAATGTGGAGCTTAGAATGACCCAAATAGTAGCTAAATGTGGAATGAAACTAGGGTTTTTTTGTAGGCATACAATTCCACTTGGACTCATGATTCCTTGCTTGGGAGTGCCCTGATTTAAATATACTATGTGATAACTTTGTTTTTTAATCAGTAAGGTTTAATAGTTCTTAAAGCATTTGCTAAGCAGAAGCTTTTTTTCTTCCTCCAAAATACTTACATCCTCTTTGAAAAAGTTGAAGTAACTTTCTGAAGGCTATTGCTACTGCTGGTTTTTGTTTATTTAATCCTATCTCCTTAAGGTGATAGGTGCTGTGTTTATTGCACAGATTAATGTTTCAGAGACTCTCTTGAGTCTGGTATTTGAAAAATACCAGTGAAAACAACTTCAGCAATTGTGATCTTAAACTTAGAGCAATTAAGTTATTACTACACCTAGCATTCCTAAATATTGCAACAATATTAAGCGTTCTAGTATAATTGCTTTCTAGTACAGTTGCAATCTGTGAACACCTAAAACACAAGTATGATCATGTGGCATATTTTGCAATAGAGAAGAATTCAAAAAGCTTGGGTATATCAGAATAGCCCTTGTTGTGAAAACTCTTCACCAGTTTATATGCATGTTAATTCCCCTGTCATGACGTTGTGGTTGTACATGTGCATTAGCAGTAATAAAAACCTATGCAAGTTGCTCATATCTGCACCTGGGTAAAGAACACAGTAAAAATGACATGACTTTTTAGTGACTTTCTAGTGTATATGGGATGCTTAAGGATGAAAAAAGCTGTAATTTAAAGGAAGAATAATTTTTTTTTACTTTGGTTGTGACATTTCAAAACGTAACTTTTTTATTGTATTTGTGAGGTTTCAAAAATGGTGCATTTTAAAGGGAAATTCAGCCTTTTTGCTATTTATTTGTTTTATTTTAGGAGCTTATACTGCAGCAAATATTTGAATGTCTTATAAAAATAAATTTCAGCATCTTTGAAACAGTGAAAGAATATTTACATTTTACAGACTGGGAAGATTGCTGTATTACTCATAAATGCCCATTGCAAAGACAAAAAAACCCCAGTTATTGTGAATTCTAGTCTAGTGTCTTCACCAGAAGATCATCTGTCCTGGTAGTAGAAAAATAAATGGAGTATTTCTGTTTGCAAAAGGCAACCTGGGAGAATGCTTGCAGATGAGTGGGAAAAGCATGAACTGAGGCAAGCTGAAGAAAAAGGAGTTTAAGCAGAAAAGTGTTGTAAATATTTTTGAGGTTGAGGACAAGAAGTAGGAACTCGATACAAATCCTCTTAAGAGAATATATGAGTAGGGTAAAGTAAATTTTCACAGCAAACTTTTCCAGTAGCTGCAAAGGGCAGGAGGTTAGAGACAAGCAGTCTGTGTACCTCAGGACAAGAGATTATTTGGGAATGGGTGTTTTGAGAAAGAGATGTCAGGAAGTTTTGAGATTGAGGTTTTAGGGAAGAGTAAGCATGAGCTGGCAGTGGCACAGCATTGATGGAAAAGATAGTATTAAGCAGATATTGTTGTGACTAGGTCACAAGCCTGCCTGAGGAGAATGTGTCTGAGGGAAGTGGGAGGACTCATCAGGAAGACTTGGGAGGACTGCTCACGATCAAAAATTAAATGTTAGAAAATTGGAAGTGTAAGAGCGTAGTGTGGGGAGAAGGTTTGGTGATTATATATAAATAAATGATCCAGATTTCCTGCACTGTATTACTGTTATGAGTAAAGAAGATTAATAGCCAGCATACAATAAATAAATCTAAAGCACAAGTAAAACACATATTGGTTTTTTGGATGGTAAACATATTGAAATTCCTGAGAGGGAAATACAGGTGCTCAGGAGTGGTTTGAAACCAGCTTGTTTTTAATAAAGGTAGGCATTTCTTGTAACTTAAATAACTGCCCTTCTGAGAACAGGTTTTAAACCTAGAAGCTGTAATCATAAGAATCCACTATTAACTAATCAGTGGTGCTTAGGCAGTCTTTGAGCTCAGTGCTCATATTTATTTGCTGTGTTCCATTTTGTGTGCACTTTTGATTTTGTCATTTTTTTCAAGGCAAGGAATACGGAGTGGGTGTTATCAGAGCCAGAGCCAGTTTCTCTACAGCAGAAAACTTCAGAAAATATTCCAGAATGCTATGAAGGTACGACTGATTCTTTGTTAACAATAAGCTGCATTTTTCTGGTAGTCTCTTTGTTTAGACTCTTTTTACCCTACTTTAATAGTTAAATAACATAACCATGCTAATAACACAAGAATTTTGGAAAGGAAGGACTTTTTAGAAGGGTTATGCTAGAATATGTGAGACTGCATGTTCTTTTAGTAATGTTTAATAGAAATCCAAATTAAAATTAAATTCAAAAGACTTCAGATGAATCTTTGGGTGCCTGCTGCTCTTTTAGTAACTGGTAAAGCTGTCACAGAAATAACACATTACGCTATGTGTATCAAACAGTACCCTGAGTACCGTGAGTTGTGTTTTGGTATTTTAAGCATTCTGAAGAGCCTTCTGATATTCTTACCCTTGTTATTCATTATGTTTTAGAACCAGAACATGGACCGAGTGTTGATTGCCTTAGTACATCACCAAAAGCTGCATTAGGTAATGAGTGTAAGCAGAAGAAGATAGTAGCCAGTATAGTGTACTTAAATATTCGTTTGTACAGAGAATGTATGACTGGAAAGAGATGTGGAATTCTTACTTTAGTATCAGCATGCATGAGTTAGTTGAAACATCTGAATTTGTGTTATAACTTCTTCTCTTAAACAGTGTACTCCTAAGAAAGTCATTTAAGTCAGTGTTGTTCTGGTTTTATCTATCTTATCTTAGCCAACCTGATGAGTTTAAATGCTACAGGTATCACCTGTAGCACAGGTAACACCTAATAAAGGTGACTATTAATATTTTACACCTCCTATTAGACTGCTTTAAGTTCTGCATTTAAAGCATATAGGTGGAATAGAGCATTGTGCTGTCATTAATGTTAAGCAAACACATCTTGTACTAATCTAGATAGGTCAGTCTTTCTATCTAGACATAGTTTTTGCTCCCTCTTCAGAAAACTGAACGTAAAAATTTAAACTGGAAAAATCTTGTACTTGTAATACAGTATCTTTAATGTCCAGAGTCTTAATTTGCTTAACACTGAAGAGTGTATCGCATTATAAGTAAGTACAAAGAAGTTGAGGAAGATAGAATAGAATACATCAGTGATTTATCATTTTGAGGATCATCCTGCAGGAGCAGGTTTCTGAGAATAAAGAGCATTGATTTTCAGCAGCACAGGGGTAGTAAAGAAGTTGTGGCTGGGTCTAACTCAGTGCTTTAAGAAGGTAAGGTCTTCATCACTGGTTTTATATTCACTTTGGTTTTGGGTTGGTTTTTTTGAGTTGTTTGTTTGTTTGTTTGTTTGTTTTTAGGAGCTGGAGACTAGAAAAAATAGTTAACCGCATACACTTCCTGGTTTTGTCATTTGTATCTTTAACACATGTTCTCATAAAACAAGTGCTTTTCTTGTTTGTTTTGGACATCACAAGTTCTATCTTACGTGAAGAATCTCTGTTCTGTGTATGCCTGTTTCCAACTAAATTTCAGCTCAAACCAGTTTTTCTGTATATACAAGCATTCAGTATGAGTTGTTGATTGAAAACTTGTGATTGTGGGAGATTTACCCTGGCTCAGGGTAGCTGTCAAGAAGGCACAATACAGCGCCTTACAGAATGTAGTAAGTCCTATTAGGGTCTCATAAAAAATATCAAGATTAGGAGTTGTGTCAGACTTCATGCAGAGCAGAATGTAGGTTCCTTTCTTTTGTATGTTTTGAGATTTAATACAAAGCATTAAGGCTGTAACTTTCAAACTTCCAATACTGTACTTAGGCAGTTGAACAAAGCTGTTCAATCTAGTGATAGAGTATGTTGTCACCTCTGATAATGTTTGTGATTTTGTTTACGATGATACAGGTATGTTTTATCTGTATCATTGGTGGTTTTAAACATAGCCAATATCTTTCTGTTCAGGAAACAATTAATCTTGGAAATAGTATGGGATCAGGTGGACCTCTAGTCTGATTCAGAATAGCAAGTCTCGCATTCTTGTTCTGTTTACTAGCAGGTACCTACAACTGAAAACTGAGCTGTAATTTTACTCCTATTATGATTTGCAAGAGAGGCCATATCCTCAATCAGAGGCAGTTTCCCACATTTTCTTGGAGATAGTCACAGCTCCGTTGCCTGTAACTCAGTTTAGTATCTCAGTCTCTTAGTGTAGAAACTGTAACACTTCAAGGCATTAAAATAAATTCCAAAAACTGTTTTGAGACTGATATTGTGGAAATTATCTTCTGCAGTTCTGGAATTAATAAAATTGTATGTCAAGTAATGTACATTTAATCCTTGCAGAGAACACTACCTTCATAAAAAAGAAGCCAAATCAAGCTAAGAAGGGGGTAAGTGTATATAAATAGTACATATTTTTATCTGTATTATAGATCTCTGGAAATATGTAGATTGCAATATGGAGATGTATCATGTAAGTTAGCACTAAACAGTACTTGTATCAGTAATGATTTATGAAACTGAAATGGAATTGAAAATTGTTTCTATATCAAAACAGCCAATGGTCTGTTTGAAAATAGATTATTGTCAAGATGGATTTGTCTAACAGGTTACTGTAGTTATGTGGTAGAGCGCTTCAGATCCGTGGGTTGTTTTCTGACCTCAGATGTATGTAGCTCACTGAACTGTTTAGACTTCCACATGTATATCTAAGTGTCATTTTCTTTGTGCTTCTGGACCTGAACAGCAGGTGATATCTTTTCAAAAATGAGTAAAATAAAAATGTCAAAGCATATATTGATGTCAAGATCTGTATCCCGCTTCTCTTCAGTTCTTTTCACAACCATTGTCCCTGCAACTCCACTGATGCCCTGTAACCTTTCTTCTCACTTGCTGATAGTGGGTTGCAGGGCTTCTTCAGGCTTTCACCTCAGTTAAGCAAATTCTGAAAACACAGGGAGTTCCAAAAGCACCTTTGGGTGGCTAAATATGCATGTGTGACATAATCCGTCAATATAAGGTGAGTTTGAGACATTCAGATACATATTTCTGGAGCCGTCCTCATGTCATGCCACACAGCAGTATGGTATTTGGTTGTATTTATAGATAACTTGCAGCTGCATTCAATTCAAGATAGTTTACAGACTTGTTTCTGCATGGGGTCTTAACACTTAGGCATCTGGTCTCTGTAAAGAAGGCATGAGGAGAGTTGAGTATCTCAGAGTGATGGTTCAAGGAACCTGAAAACTGAGTAAGACAACTCCAGTTAACTCAAGGTAGCTAGGAAAAGCTGGGTTTTGAATGTTTGGCTCCCGAGTCCCAAGAAAATAGCCCTAATATTAGGCTATTATGGTGACAATATGTTACAGGGAGTCACTTCTTTTAAGTCTGGACTGTTGTATGGCAAAAGATTTTGAAGATTTATTGGAGCAGAAGAGTCATTTAGATCGAAACCTATTATTTCTTGCTCCCACTAGAGGGCCCTAATACGCAAGAGGAGTTTCTTATTCTAAATAGTTTATGCAGGTATGTTCTCTTACAGTAAGAAGAACATAACTGGGTTCACAGGTGCATGTACAGTTTGTGAACTGTAGTGTCAGAGCCTAAAACTGTATGTACATAGGCCAGAGCTTTTACATGAAGACTTTAAGGCATTAAAAAGTTAAGATAAATGTATTGTGAAAATTAATATTGCTGCAGTGTTGCAGATGAGGAATTAAACGCACGGGAGACTAAGAACAGCAGTTTGAGTGCTGCGCCACTGTCTGAATCAGCATCATTGTATCTATTCATATTTGTAGTAATAAGTGTTTTTTAAAATCTTTGATAATCAGAATGAAAGAATATGTATCCCTGTATTGAAGTAATATGAACTAGAAATAGAATTATTTTAAAAGAATGAGTGCAAAACTAGAACCTCTCAGCTGACGTGCTTATCTAAAAAAAGTTTACAATACTTTGTCACATGCAAAGGCTAATCATGCATACACGTATATACAAAACTTGTATATTGCTCTCCTACCATAAATCAGTAAATACCTATGTACATGTTTATTAAACATATGAGCAAAGATAACACACTAGCACTGGCCAGTGAGAACAAATTGAAGAATCCTTGCCACTTCTAAATGTAAATTGTGAATTAAGTGAATGAGCACCAAATGATTCCATTGCAACAAATTTTATTGTATTACCATGCAACAAAATCATTATTAAGAAACTAAAGTTATTTGAACATGCCAACCTCTAAACAATTAAAACTATAATAGTTTCATTACCCTGTGATGGTTGACTGCAGAACTAACTAAATTTGTAAGAGTTAGAGGAAGCATGTGGAGGGTCAAAACATGAAAAAATATTTTCTGTGCTCCAAATTTTCATTGCTGTTTGCATATGCTCCCAGAGTATAGTGTTTGCTGTTGCTTTCGAAGTTGACTGTTAAGTCAGTTGAGGTGATTGTCTCAGTTATAATGTTGGTGCTTTTGTTTTTTGTTTTTCAATAAATCAAGCTTGGTGCCAAAAAAGGTGGTTTGGGGGCACAAAAAGTGAGCAGCCAAAGCTTTAATGAGATTGAAAAACAAGCACAAGCTGTAGATAAAATGAAGGAACAAGAGGATATTCATAGCAGTAAGAAAACTGAGAAGGAAGAGCCACTGTAAGTATGAATTATATATACAATGGTAAAACATGAAACCTAATTTCATGTTAATGAAGTAATTGTCAACATTTTAAATACTGCCAGAGATTAGCTCATGCAAATAAAACTTCAGTTCTTGCTTTAAAAAAAATCCCAAATGTGGATGAGGTGGGCCAAATAATTCCCCCATTGACATTTTTTTTGCCATTAAGTATATGTTTCTACAGTTGATGATTTACTGTAGAAATAGCCCAATGCTACCTTTAAAAATAACCTTAGTGTTATTCTTACACAGAAAATAAGGAGACGTCTACTGATACTGATACATGAATAAAATGTTAAATAAATCTAAACTATGTTACATTTTAAGTATTACCACAGAAGAGTCTTGCCTCTTGAACTTTCTTTACCCCATGATAGTTACCTAGTTTATTTTGTTTTGGTGTAATGAACTGAATACTATTTAAAACAGTCTTTCTAAGAGCATAGGGAACATACAAATATTCAGCTTTATTTGTACTTACTGGGTAAGAGTTTCTATGCTGAAGGCAGGGGGTAGTTTAAGTATGGCTAGAAGTGCCTTCCTAAGTTTCAGCTGTTTTATACTGGAAGTGCCTTCATTTTCACTAATTTGTGTGGCAATTTTAATTTTAAAAGCTTGAGTAATGAGCTTTAGTAAATTAATTCAATGTGGCTTTGTTACGTGGCAGGAATGGAAGCGATGGTTTTGTAGTACTAGGAGAAAGAGTCCTGAGACTGAAAACTTAAAATGTGATTTTATAATTGGTACACAGTTTCTTTATTTTCTGCTGTGCACTGGCAAGAGAATAGATAACTGGAGTTACTTTAAAAAAAATTATCAGTATCCCTATTTGTTTTAATCAACAGCAAATAAAATTTTTGATGTTCATAAAACAGATTTCGTAAGATGGGCTGCTAATCTTTCTACTTAAAATGCTGGGTAGTTTTTATCAGTAGCAGTTTCAAGTTGAATTTTAGAGAACATTTTCAATTTTCTGTGTAACAGTTGGTCTTAACTGTAAGAATTGATTTAAAACCTCCCTGAACATCTCTCTGCTTTGAAGATATATTTTTCTGATTTTATTGGTTTCAAAAGTCATTCCACAGATGCATCCCGGTTTGTATCTGACTTCTATTATTATAAGCACCTGAACATAAAAGGTAGTGATTTTTTTAGTTCTGGCTCCAAGTCCTCAGAAAGCCCCAGGCAAAGGATACCTAATGATCGCAAGATTGAGATGGCTCTCCTCCTTTTTGAAATGCCTCGTCAGTGGAGGAGTGCTGTCCCGTTCCTTATAGCAGGCTGGTGCCTACATCCCTTGTCTGTGAAGGAAGGAGGCCGGATGCTGCGCCCTTTTCATTCTAACAGGCTCAGCCACACAGCTACTGTCTTGCAGGAGATGCACTAACCAGCAGGGTATGAACTTTAGTAGGGCATCTTGTACTCTTCGTTAAAGTTAAGTCAGTATGCATGGGACCAGAAAAAATCAAGCCGGGAAGAGCCTGTTTCAGTAATCAGATAGTTAGGAGACACACTGGAAGAAAGTACTCCTTGGTCAAAAACTTGTTTTCTTTTCATTCTTGCTTCTATACAAAACGGAGGGAAAGTTACAAGGGTTTTCAGGCTTAAGTACTTCCTTTCTACTTGCAGCAGGACGTCTACTAGCAGCATCCTAAATCTCATTTACCTTTCTTCTGATAGTGTTCATTTGTACTTTATGCCAGTCGCAACTTATGAATTAAAATATTGCTGCATTGCTCATTAAAATTACTATTTGTATCCCTTTTAACCTAAAAAATTAAATTTAAGCAGTGTTTCTACAATTCTGTAACCAAGATTAAAAACATCTGTCTCTGCTGCACTGGTATTAGTGGAAAAGAGTTAAGATTGTTTTGAGGTACAGGACGGTTCATGGCATCTCAGAAAGACAGCTTACATCTCAGAAAGACATCCTCATGAACTGTGAGGATGTTTCAGATGACAAATCGTGTTGCCAGCTGTGCAGTAAATGATAAGTTTTGGATGCTTCAAAGTTTCATAATACAGAATATATTCCATTCTGGGAGTACAAAGACTCTCTCCTCCCCTCTTCTGAGACACCTTTTTGGGCACAGGGAAAAGCAGCATTAATAAAGAAGTGTGGTCTACCTCTAGCACTTGTCTCAAGAGTGCATGCATAGCAAGTGTTAAAACCACTAGGAGCATGAAGGGGCTGAAAGGAGGGAGATGTAGTAGCGCCAAGCTGCGCGTTAGAGGAAAACATTACTAGTACCACAGTACTGTAATATGTCAGAGTTGGATAATTTTGACAATTATTTGGTATCACATAGAATAAGGACTGTGGAAAAAAGACTTTTCCAGGTTGACTTAATGGTGATGCAAAACTATGTCCTGAACTTCAGCAGTAGCATGTTTCACATTTGTTTTGAAAAAGACTACCTGCTCGTACACAGACTGGGGTACCGTTTAGACAGTCTTCTCTACTGGCTTTCTCCCATCCTTATAGTTGGAATTTAATCCAATTAATAATATTTTCAGTAAACACAGAACATACAAAATACAGTGGTACAATATATATTGTTAATTTTCTACCAGTAGTATTGGGTTGGGCATTCAGCGTAGCATTTTTCAGCTGTATGTTAACTGTATGTTTTGTTCTAGCGTATCATCTTTACGGTTGGCCTACAGAGATCTTGATATTAAAACAAAAGAAGAAAAGTTAAATCTATCTGGTAAGAAGAAAAATGAATTGGAGAGACTTGGCATGGGGTTTGGCAGCAACAGAAGGTATGTGAAGTTCTATAAACTGTATTTAAAATACTCTGTGGCTTTATGCAGTTATCCTTCATTTTACTTAGGAAATGAAAAAATATACTAAAGTGTGTTATGGAAACTTAAACAATATCATCAGAGAATCTAGTATCTGTCAGGGGGAAGGGGCAGGATTGCTTCTGATAGGTTTAAGTTCTAACCTGCCAGAGAGGTGTTAACCTAAATTGAAGGATGTCTGTAGGATCTTTGCCTCCATTAGCTGACTGTGAGGAAGGTAGCCAAGATGTTTTCAGTGAACAGTACCAACCTAAGTATAGTCTGTCTTTTACAAGGCAGAACTCTGAAAAAGTCACATTGCTGTGTTTTCCAGCTGTTGGAATGGTCTGTGTGTTCAGAAGTCCTGTCACTACTTCAGAGAACTACAGTTGAGTCTTCCAGGGCTTTTTTTTTTTTTTTTTTTTTTTTTTTTTGAAGTTCCTCCTTTCTTCTTAAATTTTGTATAGCTTGGGCATTATCAGCAAGCTTCAGAAACTAGATTTGGGCTTTCATTTCTTTTTTTTTTAGGGTGTGAACTTTGTCATCTCTTTACATACTTATTTTCTTCCTGTCTCCAGTGGCGTTTCTCACTCAGTCACCTCAGATATGCAAACAATAGAGCAGGAAACACCTGCAATTGCAAAGCCGAAGAAAAAATACACTGATGATGTAGAAGACTCATATTTCTCTTCTAGTTCAAGGTAATGTATAAGCTTTTTGAGTGGGGGTAGAAGTACATGCAAGTTACGTATTCAAATATACACAATATCTTTGGAACTTAAGATGAAAAAGGAAGACAATTGGACATGTCTACACACCTAGCATATATTCAGGGTACATCTCAATCAGTTATGAAATAGTTGACCTTATCTTGATGAAGATGCATTTATAAAGAGGAGGAGTTACCTTTTCTGAGGAGAAGGTAGTCTGAATTATGTGTTCACAGGTTTTGTCTTGTTCAGGGTCTAGTCTCTAGTTGCACAGACAGTTGCCATATAAGCTTTTATTTGCTGTATACCGAATTCAGTGAATTTTTTGTCAGAATGACTTGTGTTCATTCAGGGTTTTTGGGGTTTTTTTTTCCCCCTTGTGGTACTGTCTTCAACTTTCAATTTAAAATTAAATGAGTATTGAAGTCTGATACTAGATGTACTACAATTGCGTTAGTCTTTTAACTGGACACATGCCAAATGCAAAAACTGAAATCTTTTTGAGGTATTGTGTGTTGGATGTATTGTGCAAATGTCTACAGTCTTATCTGATGGACTCTTACGTATTTGAACATAAAACGTAAGCAAAAAATAATTGATGCATTTTTGATCAGAGCATGAATGCAATGCAAATTATAAAATACTGCTATGGGGAGGGAGAAGAAAAAGAATTAGTCCTACAGGCACTAATTGCAATGAAACAGCTGTTTCTGGACTGATAGATAGAAACAGGTCTTGCTTTTATAAACTGCCTTTATTGGATTGGTGCCACAGAAACATGAAAAATTGTACCTAATTACTTGTAGACAGGCAAATAAAAACACAAAGGCTTTTGTGCCATTACTTTGTAGTGTAATCACTAGTGGCAGAAATGCAAAGGCGGTACCAAGTAAATTGGCAGCAGTCTTGTAAAATAAAACGTATCATTTCAGTGCTTCTCTGAAAGAGAAAGAACTGTTACTGCTCTCAAATTATTCATAAGCCTACTAGGAGGCAAAGGATGAATTATGGAAGAGGCTTTTTAATGTGTTTTGGTTCAATAATTAGAAGATAAATTGTAACCTAGCTGTTCCTGGCTCTTGTTCTTCTAGTTATAGCAATAGTAGAATCTAATTGGAGTTGGTATACAAATCCATTCTCTTTGAAGAAAGGATAAAGTCAGATTGTTGGACTTGGTAAGGTTTGTAAGGTGGTTATTATCCTTTATTCCAAGCTGTGACTTTGAAATAGGGGTAAAGTAATTTTAATATCATCTTCATATATGCCCAAAAGCAAAATAATCATGCTGGATATTAGTGTGCTGATAAGTAAATTAGGCAGGCTAAATGTCTCAAGGTTTAGATATATAATTGGAGCCTCTCAAAATCCTTGGATTTTAATTTTTCTTTTTGCTACAATTAATAAAATCTTTATTAACATAAGCGTGTAAAATTTTATTTTCTATTAAATGCAGTTTTTCTTTCTCCCTCTGCCCCGCCCAAATACTGAAGAAGTATTTTGCAAAGTTGTGAAAATCTGAAAGGAAAGGATGGAGAAAATAAGTAATTTTATTCAAATCAGCTCTTGTAGCCCCTGCCCCGTCCCATGGTTTTGATGGCCATTGTGAGATTGGATAGCTTCATATATATATATACACACACACACACACACACACACACCCCCCCACACACCCACACCTTGTTTGTTATTACATATCCATATGGAACTTTTAAAGATTGCTGTGGCTTCTTCATTAGGTGGGCAGGAATAAGAGCATTGCTATGTAGTAGCTTCCTTGCAGGTTGTATACTGTGCTTCTACACTCTGCTACCATAGGAACATATGATACAGAAACTGAGAAGTCAGACCAAAAGAAAATGACCCTGGTTGTAGGAAAGCATGTAGTGCCTTGCCATATTTCTAAGCTGATGTAAGGGAGAGAGGCAGCTGAAGGAAGAAATTTAGAATACCAGCTACTTTCTGGTGCTGTACCACTCTGGGAGTTTCTGCTTTCCTGTTATTTATTTTACATGTGATATTGCACTGAAAACAACCTAAGCTCACAAGAACAGTGAAAGATTGAATTGGTATAGTAATGTGCCCCAAAAAGTAGATTCTGTGATTTTTCTTTCTTTTCAACTTTCATCTATGACTCTTACTTTGGATTTTCCACCTGTATCCAAAAGGTGGAGGGGGCAAAAAGCCTCATTTAGCAGGAATAAATACCTTCAGCAATCTCCTGGGTGTAGCACCCACTCTGTGGGTTGATACTGTGAAGATGAAGATTGCATTGCAGTGAGTCTCCTTTGCTCAGAGCACTAAATGCATTTCCCTTTGTGTGTCAGGAGAGAAGGGGAGAGACTCCTGCTTTTTGTAGAAGTTCGTTCCAGACCTGTCCCTGCTATTACATGTGCAGAGGTGGGAGGCTTTGCTGCTGAGGGTGTCATATTTCTCATAAACTGCAAAAACAACTGCAGTCCTGACTATTCATAACACAAACATGGAGAACGTTTTTTTTAAAAGGTGGTTTTCACAAAATACAGATGCGGACTTTAATGTCCTGTGCTTGTTCTATTGAATGATTCCACTCTGCTAGCCTCCTGTCGTCTTGATCATCTTACTGCCTATCCTGGTCATATCTAAGCTTTAAGAAAGTTTATTTAACCACAAAGGAAATTGTTAATCTTTGGCATTTTAATAGGTTTTTTTTCCAAGTATTTTCCATATAAGTTTAGACATGTGTATCATATCGAAATCAAAGGGGAAAAGATCAAGATAAGTTATCACTGGAATTGACAAACATGCTGCTTTCTTCTTTTTTTTCTTTCTGTTTGTGTTTTCCCTGCAGTTTTGATATGCAAGAGAAGATTGTCTTATTAAATTAAGACTCACTTTTAAGAAATACGTTATTTAGCATTGTTTTAATATAATATGTTACAAAGGTCAGAGATGTTTAACACTAATATTTGTATTAAAAAATATATACAGAACCAGAGACAAGGGCTTTCCTTACTGCTCTGAACTATGTTTGTTGATGCCTCGGAAAATGGGAGCAGATTCTTTGCTTGTGTAGCTTATAGATTGAGTCGTATGGAACTGTGAGATTAGCCACTGTCAGCCCCTTAGTTAGAAAACTTTGCCCCATGTGAAACCACAGCACAATTGGATGCCATGGGTTAGGTGCTCTTGGATCTCTGGAGTGTTCAGAGTGCCTTGAAAGTTGTGGTGGCTTTTTCATAGCTGGTTTCTTAGTCTAGAGTGCCAAGAGCACCAGGCCTTTATGAGCAGGCTGCCTTACCGTGTAGGATCACCATGATGCCTTGCTTGCAGGGTCCATCCTGAAGTTTTCTTAGCTCCTGAAGCTCTTAAACCAGCCAGGTATCTTGACAATGTCCTTCCCAGTGCTTTGTCTGACGCTGAGGAAGAAATAATACTTCGAAGTAATGAGAACTTTGCTCTGCTGTTTTTGATGGGACAAGATCTTTCAGGCAGTCCACTGCATATTCATGACCATATCCAGCCTAAAGAAAGGCCGATTTGATTTCATTTGATTAAATGTGTGTGCAAAAAACCAAAAATCCATTGGATTCAACTGCACAAAGCTCCTAACCAATATTATGAAATCCAAATTATTCACTGACAAAACTACCATTGTGCCGAAAACTTACTTGCAAGCAAACACTTACTAAAGCAATATTTATTTAACAATATAAAGTTCCTACTTTTTCAATACGTTTTTTTTCTTTTATTTTAGGTACTATGATTCTTCAGATTTGAGAAGCAGCACTTTCTCTAAATGGGATGACAATGCAGATTCTTTTTGGAAGAAAGAAAATAACAGTAGAGATGTTGATGTAATGTTAGTTTCCAAAAGTACAGGATTTTCAGACAGGTATACAAAGAAAACCTAACTGATTTTTGTACAGCAAGCCCGAACTTGCTGATGTGATTTGAGTCCTGGTCATAGTAGTGGGATTTTTTTCAGTCTAGAGGGAAAATTTGGCCATAACTTTCATCAGCAGTCAAGGGACTTCCTGGTTGAATTTCTTTTTGTCCTGGTTCCGGCTGGGACAGAG